TTGTTGAAAAATGTTGCCAATAAGCAATATGGAGGTATCCAGATAGCCGTTGTTTACAAATGCCTCTGTTACCCGAAGCTAGGAAACGTTCCACGGTTCAGATGTGAAATTTGGATTTTTGATTTCACAGCGTGTGGTGTAAAAAGTGTATTTACTTCACCTGGGGCTGATGCTTCTTACAGTGATATGTAAATGGAATAGACAAGAGAAGGAGCTGTCAAAGCAAAACCAAGCTTTTTAAGACAGAGAATTGGCAAATTTTGGAAATAGCCTTGCAGAGTCTGTAAGCAAGAAGGATGGGTAGCTGATTTCTGTGAGGTCGAATCTATGTCAAACAGCTACGAATGTAGTATCAACAAGAACTCGGGATATTATCTCAAAGAAAACAAACTGGAAAAACATAAATCACGCAGTACTAACACCTTGTGCGGTCCTCTTGGATTAGGTAAGTGTTGTAGTGTTCATAAATAAATTTGCTTTTGAATAAATGTTTTATCAGTAGAGTGGTTAAACCAGTAATGTTTACTGCCTAGAGGTTGTTGGTTTTTTTGAGAAATGAGCTTGCAGAATCTGATTTTTACTTGCTGTTTTTAATACTTAATGGAGTAATTCTTTAAGAATTTAAAGAATACATCTACAGGGAGAAATGTGTAGGTAGGAATGTGATTTTTTTTCTGGGATATTAAAAAATAGGTTCATCTAGACTGAATCCGTAGGTAACTTAGCCTTCATGTTAATGTTGTAATCACAACAATGAGCTATTATAGAACAAGTCTGCTGGACGGCTTACATGTCTCAATCTTTCCATTTGTATTAGGTGTTTTTGCAGCATGAAGGTACTAATAATGTAGTGTGGGTGGGTTTTCCTTCCACTGTTCTTTGTCACTAATGGAGGCTCGATATTTTTTACCAAAAATTAGTTTATGACCTATGCAGACTAGCCTTTTAATGTGTTGATATTTTAAGGTTGGGTTCAGAGTAATTTCCTATTCTGTAATGGGAATGAATGAGTCTGACTGGTCTGCAATAAAACATTACAAAGAACCTTCACCTTTTTGGAAGGAGTCAAAACAAAATCTAGTGGTGAAATAACTAATTTTGTTATTTTTAGATGTATTGCTGTCCCCTTCCTCCCATAGTGGTTAAATGTTTCTGAAGATAGGTACAGTTTGAATGTTGAAATTAATATGTTTACAATAATTTTTTGTAGGTTTGCATTCAGCTGAATTGCTACTGCCTCAAAGAAAATTAAGATGGACAGAACAACTTAATTCAAAAGTCAGTGGTAATTTTACTTCTCTCCTCCCCTACCCCACATTGATTATTTGTAAAGCTTTAAATAATTAAAGCATAATTGGGTAGACTGTAAACTGAGTGCCTGGTAAAGGTGGCACATTTACCTTAGTCTCCATGTTTTAAAAAATTTTTTAGAGCTTCTGCAATACTAAGTATTAGTAGTGGCAAGCTAATGAGTAGTTTTCTCTAAGGGCAGTGGAAGGATGTTTGGGAAGATGGCTCGTGTTAAAGCCTTGTAGAAAAAGTCAGTTTAATCCTGTGAAACTAAGACTATTACAGTGGTTTTTTTCCCCCCATAACTTGCGTCTAAACAAGTTTTTTAAATTCTCAGGCTCACTGAAATAGTTCTGTTCCGTGTGTTGTCTTGCCAGTACCTAAAAGTTGAGCTAGCTTCAGTATTTTGCTTTCTTTGGATGGCCTTGCTGTTTTGTTATTTTACCTTTTTTTTCAGTTTTGTTGTTTTGAAAACATGGAAACTGTGGAACATGAATAGGAGGCTGTTCCTGTGATCTCTCCTTGCTGTGGCTTGTGGCTCTTCTAGGTTGAGTCTCAGTGTGGCTGGGGATTGGTTGAATGAACTGAACCACATGTAAAGAAACCAAACCAACAAAGAATGATCTTCCTCATTCCTTTAGTTAGATTAATCTGTGTTTTGTTTGAAAGCATTTGGTAAATGGGAAGAGTTATGTGCAAGTGGCCATTTAATTTGATTTTTGTCTACTGTATGGTCATGAACAATAGTAATACAGGTACTTGCATCTTAAGTCATAGAAAGAGTGATGTGACTCTTTTTTTTCAAACTTTCAGTGCTGTGAGATACTTTTACCTCTTGACAAGGTGCTCACACTGAGATCAAGGAGCTGTGTCCCCCACTTACTATTTTGGGTGACATCTTTATCCGAAGAGTTTGCTTTTTAGCTTCATTAAGCTAAGTCTGTCTTTACATCTCTATGTTTGCTGGTAGGATAATTCTTTTTTTCTTTTCACCATTGTTGGACTTGGGAAGTGCAGTTGTTCTTATTTGTATGCATATGTATTAGACAAAGATTCAGGTGTGTTTTACAGCTGTACTTTTGTACCCTAAGCAAAATTCATGCTTGGGTGAGGCCCACTGAGGAGAAAATGCCTAGTGTGCTGGTCCACTTTAATTCCTTCTTCAGGTTTTTATTTGTATAGTGCTGACAGTCTGTTAAGTGGTTTGCAGACAACTATGAAGATAAGGTCCTTGCTCCCAAGGGCTTATACTTTAAGCCTTGATGTAAACATAGCTTTTGTGCTGGAATAACTGTCAGCAGCTTGGCTCTTTTACTGATGTGTTTATTCTGGTAGAATCCTAAAATGAGTACATTTGTATTGAGAAATTGTCTTGAACGTTGTAGGCTGTGGTGCTATGTGAAAACAACCTGTTGGTGCAAGCTTTTAAGAGTAAGCAGAATTTAAACTCGCAGCAAAGCTTAAGTGGAATTACATCTGTAAAGTAATGTATGGAAATTTTGTAGATATTTAGCTTTGTTAGTACTTCACAAGTTAATGTACTTTACGCTCCTTTTTTTTTCCTCCATTCTAATGAGATTCTTCTCTTTGAAATGTTTGGATAAAACAGTGTGACAGTGGTAGTTCACCAGTAACTTCTGGGTAAGTTACTTTTATTTATTTGTTAGTACTAGAAATAAATTCTGTCCTGCAAGGGGGAGAAATATTTGCAGACCTGATTATAAATGAACTTGAATGAGACTTGGCATGCTTTTTGTTTTGTTTTTTGCTACTCTGTGTTTGAGCAGTAGTATTAGAGTAGCTGATGATAATGCCCTGTGTGGTGCTATCAACTCTTCCACAGTTGTCTCCTTTCATATTTTGGATAAACATAGTCAGGGAACAGCTGAAATACATAGAATTGTTTTTCTGCTGTATATGCTCAGGAAATGTCAAACCTGCTACCTTTTTCAACTGCTTTTTCTTCAGATCCTTGTGAAGACTCCAAAGTGCAAAAGAATTCCTTGTGGTTTTGTTACATAATGTATGCTGAATGGGGTGGTGATGTTATTGCGCTAACGCTTCAGCTTTTCGACTTTGAACCTTGTAAAGGGCAAGAGATCAGCATTTATCTAGCTTTCTGCTAAATGGTACTGCAAGCATGTAAGGTTTCAAGCAGAAGGAACCTGGTTGTAGTGTACCTTCAAATATGAAGTTTTTCTGTGTTACAAAATGTTTTTTTTTAATTTACGTTTTGGTACACTGCAAGAAGGAAAAGCTTTTTTTTGATAAAAGTGATGATTAAATTATTTGAAGCTCTCTCATTAACTTTGGCTGTTTCTAAAACATTTCCTAAAAGATGTTTTGCATTGTTGTGGCATTAATACCTGACTCACAGAAGTGATGTAAACCCTGTTGCTTGTGACCCTTATCTATATATAGAAAGGGGACCATAAGATAAAGAGCAATGGTTGGGATTTTTAGAATACCGGTGTCCCCCAAGTCTGCTGACATTCTAGATCATAGAATCATAGAGTGCTTTGGGTTGGAAGGGACCTTTAAAGGTCATTTAGTCCAACTCCCTTGCAGTAAGCTGGGACATCTTCGACCAGATCAAGTTGGTCAGAGCCCTGTGCAACCTGACCTTAAATGTTTCTAGAGATGGGACATCCACCACCTCTCTGGGAAACCTGTTTCAGTGTTTCACCACCCTCATTGTAAAAAATTTCTTCCTTATATCCCATCTAAATCTACCCTCCTTTAAGTTTAAAACCATTACCCCGTGTCCTGTCACAGCAGGCCTTGCTAAAAAGATTTTCCCCATCTTTCTTGTAGGACCCCTTTAAGTACTGAAAGACCACAATCAGGTCTCCCCGCAGCCTTCTCTTCTCCAGGCTGAAAAACCCCAACTCTCTCAGCCTTTCCTCACAGGAGAGGTGCTCCAGCTCTCCAATCATTTTTGTGGACTCCTCTGGATCTGTGCCAACAGGTCCACGTCTCTCCTGTGCTGAGGGCCCCAGAGCTGGATGCAGAACTGCAGGTGGGGTCTCACAAGCACGGAGCAGAGGGACAGAATTCCCTCCCTCAACCTGCTGGCCAGGCTGCTTTTGATGCAGCCCAGGAGATGGTTGGCTTTCTGGGCTGCAAGCACATGTTGCCAGGTCATGTCCAGCTTTTCATCCACGAGTACCCCCAGGAACTTCTCCACAGGGCTGCTCTTCATCCCTGTGAATCCCTTCATCCCCCAGCCTGTATGGATACCAGGGATTGCTCTGACCCAGGTGCAGGACCTTGCTCTTGGCCTTGTTGAACCTCCTGGGGTTCACACCAGGCCCACCTCTCCAGCTTGTCCAGGTCTCTTTGGATGACATCCTGTCCTTCTGATGTGTCAACTGCACCACTCAGCTTGGTGTTACTTGCAAACATGCTGAGGATACACTCAATCTCACTGTGTCATTGATGAAAATATTAGGCAGCACCGGTCTCAGTACGGACCCCTGAGGGACACTATTTGTCTCCAGTCTCCATCTGGACGTTGACCACTACTGTCTGGATGCGACCATCCAACCAATTCCTTATCCACCAAACAGTCCATCCATGAAATCCATATCTCTGCAATTATAGAGAAAAGGATGTTGTGGGGGACAGTGTTGAAGTCCAGATAGATGACATCTGTAGCTCTTTCCTTGTGCACTGATGTAGTCACTCGATCATAGAAAGCCACTAGGTTGCTCAGGCAGGATTTGCCCTTGGTGAAGCCACACTGGCTGTCCTGAATCATCTTCATGGTGATCCTTATGCAAAACAAAGCGTGTTTTAGTTGATTCATCCTCACATAAGGAACTTGAGCCCTAAGTAGAAATGAAAGTGGGTTTTCCTTAGATTTTTGTTTGATTTTTGCTAAGTAACTGTAAAGGTAGGTTTTAGGACCATGGCTGTACTATAGAATGTGTTGGCTTTAAAAGGTGAAAAAACTGACAGTTTCAGTTTGACTCCATACAATTCTTGTACCTAGGCATGCCATAAGACTTGAAATTGTTCAGGTTTGACAGAGGACCTCGGTCCTTCCTCAGTGTTCTGCAGGAAGCCTTGGTTCTCATACTTCCATTTAAAAGAGAGGCAGGAAGGTAAATTAAAAAAAGTATGGATATTTTCTTTTATTCTTCTTTATTGGCCAGTGGCATTAGAACAGTTCTGTATTGGATGGTGGGGACAGCGAAACTAAATCCGCAGATTTTACTTGCTCTGCAGTAGCACAGTTGAGAAAGAAGAGGCTTCACCTGAGTTGTTTAGAACTTTTTAATGTCTGTTGAACCAGTGGGAGAGAAGATCTTCAAAAAGTTCAGCTCCCTCTCCTTTTCTTGCAGATGTGAGTCTTTGAAAATAAATTTTAGAGAACCAAAGAACTTGAGAGAGTTACCATACCTAAACTTCATCTTGTTTGTAAATTATATGTCCGTGAACAGTCTTCTACACTGAAATGTAGGGCGAGAGGGGTGACATGCATGCTTTCCCTTCAGAGTCTTAAAAGGTTGGTTGTAAAGATTTAAGCTTATTCTGTTGTTGTGGCTGTGCATTTACATGGAGAGAAAAGAAGGGAAATAATCTTTAGTTCAAGTATTTGCCATGCTTTTGCAGCTATTTGTGATCAGTGGAAATGCCTCCATTTTCAAAAACTCTGTAAAGCTTGTGTTAGGGTTTGAATATTATTTTCTGGTTTATTAACATGTGGATTTTGGATAGCAAAATAACTTGAAATTAGCTCATTTTGCTTTGTTCAAATTAAATGAATCACAAAGTAAAGAAGATGTCTAATCTGTATCTTTAAAAGGAGAATGAAAATTTATATGTATAGACTTTAAACAAAAGTATTGTTTAAAGCTTATACTCACCAACTTCAAATTAGTGCTACTCTTGACTAAAGGTAACAGGGAAGGATCTGTTCTCACAAGAATTTTTTTGTTTAAAAGCAAATGTGTGTTGTGGCAGAAGGAAAAACTTTTGATGGAACAGGTTCTTTTGAAGCCCTGCTTAGTTTGAGCAAAGTCCCGAACATTTCTGTTCACGAAGAAAGACCGTGTAGTCTGTTGGCTAGGACTTCTGCATATAGTTTCTGTGCATAATTCAAAGCAAAACTTTGCAGTTTTTCTATGGCTGATGCTAAGTAGGTGAAATAAACATTTGAAGTTGGCCTGAGATGGAAGATCTGAAGGGTCAATTCACTTATTCCAGGGTTGCTCTGTTTTGGTGAGAACTTTGCCTGCTGCTGATGCTTCTTCAGGAAAAAAAAAAAAGTCAACCTTGGCAAATAGCTTTCTCTTTTTGTTGTCATGAAATGCAGTACAATAGGTGTTTGGCAGATCTTTGATAGTAAACATTCATTTTTAATTCCCTCCTAGAAAACTCTGTGCCTCCTTTCCCTTCTTGTTAGAGGGTCTTTTTTTTTCTAAGATGTCATGTAGACTTGTTTATTGGACCTCTCTGAAATTCATAAATATGTTTCATTTCTCTTCCTGACTTAGTAAGGATTTGATACACTTGCTGTAGCTCATTACCAAGGAAGCAGAGCAGCAGCAGTAGCAACAAACTTGAGACACTGAATAGTATTTAACCTTTTTTTTTTTTCCTGCTGTCATAACAACACTGTAGTATACTTTAACTCTGATGGCTTACAACCTTCTTTTATGCCACTATGTAAATATTAGACTAAAAATTATGCGGACAAGATGAGGGTGGGTTGTCAAAAAAGTGTGTAGCTGAGGGGTGGAATTAAGGTTCCCACATGTAGTATGTGGTGTGCTGTACTTAGGGTAGTAATAATCTGTGAGGCATTAGGTAAAAGATCATAGGTATGTGCCACTTAGATAGGCACACATCCTAATTTTAGACTTTCATAAATACTATGAATGTGCATATATCCACGTGCTTTTAACATTGATTCTGTTCATGGGTTTCTCTCTGCAAATCAATAGACTGAATTTCTAAACTGGTCTTCAGGGAGCATCAAGAAATTTGAATTTGTATCTCCCTTCTAACTTTGGGAATTCATGGCTTGAAGCTTCCTTTTCTTTTTTTTTTCCCCTGTTTATAACTTTGCTACTCCACTCACGAGCTTCAGGTATTCCTAGCTATTAGAGTTTATGTTGCCTTTTGTTTTAATAGTCTCCTGACAATCTCTGAAATACTGAGTATAACAGAAACTGCTTCCTGTAAAATAGTACAGGCTATCCACAGAGCATGAGAAATACAGAAGCTGAAAATGCAAAACTATTTTTCCTTGTCACTAGCTTCTGGTGAGATGGGTTCAGCTGTCAGGGTTTTTTTTTCCTAATTTTTAGCATTATTGTAAAATTCCTTTTTCGTATAAAATTTTGGTCAGCTCTGTTTAAATTGGATGTATTTATTCATATGGTAAATCCACAAGATGGCCAAAAGCATACAATGTTTTAGTAAATTAAGTTTTTAGATTGTAGGTGTTTTGGCTGTTTTACTATTATACTGACCAGCCTTTTCCATATTGCAGTGATGTCACCATTTTTAGCTGTCTCGTCATGCTAGGACAGTATGAGAAGGCAAAGCTGTTTTTATTTGTTCTGGTAGTTCAGACAAATAGTTTTAGCAAATGAATCTCACTAACAGTAGTGAAACCTGTCTTAAATATTGAAGACAGCTTTCTGGGCTAAGGAGTATTTTTGTTTAGTACACTTGAAGAGACCTCCTTGAAGTTGGATCTCTTCAGTACCAGTGGGACTGTCTTTCCTTTGCCAGCTAAATACTGGTTAGACAAGTTAAACAACATGCCCTTAAAATTGGGTGGGGACAGCCTCTGATCTCATGTCCTTGTGATCTTAAAGTTCTGCTGTGCTTTTTTCTCCACCCTTGGTGGAGAAAGGATCAGGTTAGGGAACACTTAAGTAAGACATACGTAAATCCATGGGGCTTGACAGGATGCTCCCATGAGTACAGAGGTAGCTGGCTGATGTCATTGCAAGGCCATTCCTTATTATCTTTGAGGTCTTATGGTCACTGGGAGAGGCTCTTGAGTACTAGAAGAGAGCAAATATCAATCCTGTCATCAGGAAGGGTAAGAAGGAGGATCCAGGGAACTACAGGCTGGTCAGCCTCACGTCAGTCCATGGGAAGGTGGTACAGCAACTGATCCTGGAAACGTATGAAGAACAGGAAGGTGAGTGGGAGCAGTCAGAATGGCTCTGTGAAGGGGAAATTATGCTTAACCAAGCTAATAACCCTCTATGAGGTGACTAGCTTGGTAGATGAATGGAGAGCAGTGGATGATGTTTATCTTGACTTCAGTAAGGCTTTTGACATTATCTTCCATGACATCCTTATAGAGAAGCTGGCAAAGCATGTGTAGAGAAGTGAATGATGAGGTATGTCAAAAACTGGCTGAATGGCCAGGCCCAGCTCATCAGGGTTGCGATCAGTGGCACAAAGGCCATTTGGAGGAAGCTGTTACTGTCGTACCCCAGGGTTCAGTACTGGAGCCCATACTGTTTAACATCTTCATTAAAGTGCTGGACAATGGGGGCAGTTTACCCTCAGCAGGTTTGCAGGTGATGCAAAAAGGGGAGGAGTGGCTGATAGACTAGATGTTTGTGCTGCCATTCAGAGGAATCTGGATGGGATGCAGAACTGGACAGAGGATCCTCATGAAGTTCAGCAAAGGGAAAATGTGAAGTCCTGCCTCTGGGTAGTAGTAGCTGCATATATGCCAGTACATGCTGGGGACTGACTAGCTGGTAATTAGCTAGGCAGAGAAGGACCTGGAGGTCCTGTTGGTCAACAAGCCCCTATACGCCAGTAACACATCCTCATAATAAATGAGGACAACATCTCCCTGGAATGGTGTTGCTGGCAGGTCAAGGGGAATTAATCTTTCTCCTCTGCTGAGCCCTGGTGAGCCCACATGTGGGGCACTGTGTCCCTGATAGGCTCCCTGATACAAGAAAGATACAGGCTTAGTGGAGCGAGTTCAGCAAAGGACCACAGAGATGATTAAGGGACTGGACCATCTTTCCTACAGGGAGAGGCTGATACTCTTTTTGATCTTCTAAGTATGAGTTGGTCCTCAGTCTTTCAGAACACTCTCTGGATGTTATATTTTAATTTTTCAGAAGATAACTTCCAGATTTAAAATTAGTAAGCTGTCAAACTCATATTTTTCTGATGTAAAATTCTGTGATGGTGAAAATGATGAGGGAGCCTTTGTTAATGCTGTTGATGCGACTGCAGACTGTTGGGACAAGAATAGACAGTATGCCCTCAGAAGGATGTTACAAGGTAGCAATGCTTTGTTACAAGGTGATGCTTAAAGTTCATAACCTCATCTGTGATAAATTGAAGAGTTGTCATGTTGAGACATTCCTCCTACAATCTGCAAAGGGTGTGGACCTGGGAAAATAAAAGGTAGGATTAGATATTTTTACATTTGATTCTTATGAGTTGCCTAATTGTTATGGTGTTTATAGTTAAATATATTAAAAGTGTGATACTAAATTAATTTCCTCTAGTTGTAGCTACTTAAACCAAATAATGAAAATAGTCTCAAAAAATCACAGCAGTTAAACATGAATGCATGTTACCTTGTATGCTATAGTCCTTTCAGGATTCTGTACTTTAATAATTAGGGTCATTTTTTCTAATTTGACGTGGAACTAAAATTGGGAGTGCTTTAACTACACGTGCTTGCTCTGCACTCTGCCCTTGCAATATCCCAGAAGATCATTTCTTCTCCTTGCCCCCCCTTCTGCAGGCTTTCATGTCCACTTATGCAGCCAGTGCAGAGATTCCCTTGAGATGAATTCTTGTGGGAGTCACTTTTCCAACTCCTGAAGAGTATTATGCACTTCCAGAGTTGCTATATGGCTATTTTTAGTGTTGTGTAAGTAGACAAATATAGAGAGAGGGTTTCTAAATGCTGGGAAGATTTGATGAAGGAAGCGAAGCAGGAAGAAATTCTGGATAACAGATCACTGTTATAAAGGAGCGGGAGTGATCACTTAAATTATTTTTTATGTAACCAGTTTATTCCAGACCTTTCCAGACCTATTCTTTGTTTTCTTGATGATGTTTAAGGCCAGGTTGAGACCTTTGTAAGGGAAATTACTATTCTTTCACTCTGTTAGCAGGAGCAGCGCAGGAGACATTACATGAATATCTAGTGTTTGAAGGCAGTCGGGTTAGATCATAAGTGTTCCAATGTTTGAGCTGGGGACTTTTTTTTTTTTTTTTAAATTTTATTTTAAAGATTTGACAGGTCTAGTTGTTTCCAGTGTTTTATAGATGCCTGGCATGGGGGGAAAAAAAAGTCTATGTCTGTCTTCTTGCCTTATCCTTTTGCTCCATAACTTTTGGCAGCACAGCTGCTTCCTGGTTTAGTGCTGCAGCTAAGTGAATTAATAAATGCACCCAATTCTGTCTGCAGTGACTCTACAGTTACCTCATCTGTAATGAGTCTGATATTTGACTGCATTATATACCCATTTTTTATATGCTAAGCAGAGATACAAGCTGGACTAACAGATGCTTGCTAGGGTTCTGCACTGTGCTTAGCATGTAATTCTCTCATGCTTCACCGGTGGTTAGAAACTTTTGCCACGTGGCGCCAGTCTGCTTATTTGGTGAAATAGTTTAGGAGTGAAGGAGGGTAAAATCTGTAACTGACATAGTTGTGGTGGCAGGATTCCCTAATTTAGGACAAACGGTATGAGAATGAGGAACCATTTCTCCCCCCCGCCCAGGTAAAGATGAAGGGAGGGAGAAGAGATCTTTAAAAAAACTACTTTTACTTCAAAAAATTACACAAATTTTATTAAAATGTGAGAAATTGTATTTGTTAAACCTGAGATGTAGTCCGTAACACTGTTCTGGGTAGTTTGTTCAACGGGATCTCCTTGATCTATGTATATTGTGCCCCTGTTTTATGAGCTAACCACATGGAGGTTTTTAGCTTACAAAAAAGCTTTGCAAACAAAAATGTTAGTGATTTTAGCTGTTCCATATTTTGTCCCAGTAATAGTGAATTAAAGGTTGCAGATATGGTGAAAATTGTAATATAAGATGAAGCTTGAAGGAGCACTTTGTGAAAGTAATCCGAACATAAGTTAATCCAAAAGCTCATGAATACAGGGTGTTTTCTGCTTTTGTACCATGTTGAATTCAGTCTGTGTTATTGCAGGTAAAAAAATAAAGTAATTTGATTTATACTTTGGTTGTAGCAGGTGGTCTTCATGCTTAAAAAGTTTGGGTTTTAAACACTATTGATTTCAAGTAGCTGGGGAGAGAGGAGGAAAAACTTGCTGGGGAAACAATACAGTTATCACCCAAGATGGGAAAAAGTGGATTAATTATTACAACGTTATCCTTTTGTACATGCATTGTGCTACATATTAAACTCCAAAAAGGAATTGAGAGGTTCAAATACTTGTCTTAAGTCTTAAAGTTGTTCCCAAATCTTGTTCTTCTGATCTTCGGAACTGTGCCTCCAGCCAGAATCTGCTATGGTTGGTATCTTCTTGTGAGCTTACATTATTTGGGTTAAGATATCTCTTTTCTTGGTAGAATTTACTCCTACAGATGTTTATAACCACTGTTTAATACATCTCAGGTCCTCATTTTGTGAGGCAAAGCAAGCCCAGTAGTTTTCTTAGACTTTTCTTGTCCCTCATCACTGAAATACTCATTATTGCATCAAGTAAAATCTTAAATTTCTGTGGTGTTATTCTAAGTGTGATTTTAACTTATGTCTTTTTCTGTGATGATTTAAAAAAGAAAAATGTAGTAGTGCAGGGGAAATTGACTGTACTGTTGAATATTTGATTTTTTCGTTTAATTTGATAAACACAAGCTAAACTAATGATAGTAGTTTTACTACCTTTTTTTTTATTGTTTTTGCAGAATTTTGAGATTTGACTCGATGTTTTTTCTTAGCCTTTTGCAGAAGTCTTGACATCTAATTCATGCAGTGGCTTTCCGCTTCCCTCTTCTCAGCATGTTACTTCTTTTTCTAAAACAGAGGCAATATATTAAATGTTCTCAGATGCTCTTCAGATGACACAAATAGTTTTGTTTAAAAAGTAGTGTTTCCAGCTGCTTTAAAACTGATGAAAAATAGTTTCTATCACAAAAGGACGTTATTGACTCCACTATAAAAAAAACCCAGCCCAGCCTTTTTTGGATGTAGGTTAAGCATGCTTTGTGCAGTGTTCTTACTTCAGCTGCTAATGTGTCTCAAAGTGGATGGCTGAGTTGTATTTATGACAAATCTCTTCAGTGTACATCATCTGGAACTAGCTGCTCATTATTCCTTGGCATTCACGGCCTTATTACTGAAGATCATACTTCACAAAACTACAGAATTAAATTTCATATAATGGAATATTGGAATAATGATTGCATGTTACCTGAAACAAAACGCTTTACAGACTTCTCTCAAATCCCCCCCAAGAAGTAAAATTTAAGACGACATTTTTTTCTTTGCTGTAAAGAAAGAAAAAAAACCCTATTCCACTGTCCACAACACAGTAAAACATAAATTTTCTCTAAATTGATAGGCTGTGGAAGTCACTACACAGTACTTTAATCAGATGGCCAAGGCGATTACTGAGATGAGACTTGAATACTTTGACCAGTCTGATTAAAGGAATTTAAATGCATTTGAGTATGAGGATAGCAGTATTTCAGTGCCTTTTTCTTACCTTTCTAGCATTGTGCACCTCTGCTTCTAATGGACAACCTGGGCCAAGTCAGCTTTTATGGCACTTTGGTTAAAGAATGGCAGATACACTTTGAGTTTGTGCTGCTGGGGAATGCTGACTTAAACATTCAGCACTAAATTTTGCACCTACTTTTTTGTTACAAAGTGAGTTTCTGAAAGCAGTGGAATTGTGTTTGGATTTGCGGTGTATGCCTCAATAAGCTTACTTCCGAAAGCTGTGTTAATGCTGGGAGTGCAGCAGCTGTTTTATCAGTGTGAACGAGCAGCGGTTGATCTGCTGTGTGGTGTGTACGTCAGAGAAGGCTTGCTAGCAGACAAAAGGGTTCTTTATGTCTGTCAGTATAATTGAAGCAGTTCCTTGTAAATGCTTGTATGGGTGCATACTACTTTTCATTCTAGTAAATTTCTAAAGTCTCTTCAGTATTTTTATTAATAACTTCAATCATGAAATAGTGTGTGTGCTTATTAAATTTGTAGATAGTATGAATCTGAATAGAGGTGGCAAGTGCTTTGGGGGACACAGAATGCAGAAATTTCTCTGACTGCTGGGGATAGCTTAGGTAATGGACCTGAATAGCAGGAAAAAGGACTTAGGTCAGACCTGGTAGAAGGAACCTTTCTAGTGATGGGATGTATTGTGGAATAACGTGGTGGTCTAACTTAAGTTGGAAAGCAAGCAAGGAACAAAATGGTGTTTGGCAACCAAGCTGATCATGAAGGGTTTAAGCATAGTAAATCCTGCCTGTGGCAGTGGAGTGGTCTTGCTGACATCCCGTTCTCACTTTGTGATCTGTTTTCAGTTTACCAAAAATATGTTCCTGTGAATGAAGAGTATACTAGAGCTATTGAATACTTGCCAGATCATCAAAACAGAGCTCATGCTTGTAATGAAAATGTTTTTATATTAAAATACGCTCTAGGACAAAATTGTTGGCAACATCAGAAAGCTAGCATCTGTAAGAGTATTTAGGAAGCCTGGTGAAATATGTAATTGGCAACTTAAAGCTGGGTGGGCTGTGTACTGTAAAATACAGTTTTAAAAAAAGTTGTTAATATTTGTCCTTTCCTAATCAGCTGTTTGTTTCCCAATTTAAGTATGGCTAGGGTGTTTGTGCCCTATAAGTTAGTTTAGAAGTGAGTAAGGTTTAATAATGAAAATAGTACATTTTCCCATGTCTAATTGCCAGACCAATAATACATACAATCAGATGAGAGAAAGCATTTTCTTTACTTTGGTGGTGTGGGGGTCAGTATCCTCAACAGTTGCTTTTCTCGGTAGTCTTTAACTGTAAACCTGTGGTTAGGTACTGTTCTAAAAATACATCTGTGCTTTCGTTACTAGTGTTCTTTTACCAAAACTAGCTGGAATTAGGTCTAAAAGGGTTTTTCTTTTATGGGCTTACTGAAATTTACAGATATTCTGCTGCTGACTTTGCACCCTGAGTATTGTGTGGTTTTGGCCCAGGCCTCTGTCTTCACCACCCCATGATACTGCTTTATAGGAAAGGGATTGAATAATTTGACAGAGCAGTACCCTCAAAAACCTCTTTGGGGATTTTGGTTGTAGAACTGAGACCGTGAGGAAGACCTGAATCTGCTTCTAGAGTGATTTTTTGGGGAGGAAATATACACCCAGTATCAGTGAGCTGTGGACAAAGCTCTGTTAAAACCAGCTTTCCAGTCCTCGGATACTTGGTGATCACCAGATCTCGCCGAGTCCTTGATGTCTGTGAGAAAGGTAAAAGGTAGGGAAGTTAGTGAGTTAAGGAAACTCTTTCCATGGCAATTGGGTAAACAGTAGTAAGCTTAACTAGTTTTCTAAAAACAGTAAGATGAATTAATTAAGAAGTCACATCATTAGTTCCTTTGTCCCATACCTAATAGCTGATTCACCAAAAACTTGGTAATACTTCTTGGATCCTTTGTTTTGTTCATATTTGGTATAAACCTAGTCTCTCTCTTGTTTTTTCAGATTGTAAGTTTCTAGGTCAGAAGATTTTGTTGTTGTGCTGATTTTCCAGTATTGATACCTGTCTTGATCGTTTCTAAAGATTTCATGATTCTCCTGCTTGGAGATGAGAACTGTACCTGAGGGAAGGAGACAAAAAAAAATTTCTTGCTGCAGCCTGCTCACATTTGATTTGCTGTTTCTTAATTTAGGATCTCTTGTGTTGGTTCATCTGTAAACATGTAACCTTTTCTGTTCCCATACCATTGCTGAACATGATTAGTCAGTGAAAGTGAAGTTGATTCCTGTTAGAGAAGCCATTTTTGTGATGCTTCTGTGACTCCAGAACTTCCTTTACTTGTTTTTTACTAGTCTGACATAACTGGATTCTTTAGAGAATTCTCTGGAATTTCTGTTGAGGTTAATTTAGAACAGAGTGTTGGATGACTTCAGCAGAGCAATTTATAACAAGTTATTTGGGTAAGACACACCTTTAAACTTGCCTGGATTTAATAATAGTATATTGTGTGCATCTTGCCTTACAGTTTAACTCTGGTATCGGAGTTACCTAAAAAATGAAGTATGAGCTCAGGGCATAAAAAAGAACCGGCAGCTCAACTAAGTGTGGTTTAATGCTTACAAAGCTGTTAAGACTTCCTTTTAGAAGCTGGAACATTCTTGTCTGTCACTGGAAATCTGCAATAGCCTGGTTCAGGCCAGAATAGAACAATAATTACCAGTTATCAGCTTCAGATGCCACAGTTGTTACTAATGCTTACTCATGTTACAGCAGTCTTAGATTAAGGTGAACTGCACCTATGCTCACAAACAGCTCTGCAGTCTGTTGTGCAGAGATGTGGAATACATGTTTATTTGGGTCCCTTATGAAATGCATGTGGGTGTTTATTATGTTTTCACTAGCTGAATTTCTAATAGTGTTTATATCATACTTAAAATATTTTGAATCATTGACAGTTTTGCAGTGTCTAGCTGCAGAGCATGATTCAGGTACCCATATAATTCAGGCAGTGTTTCATCCATTTCTTTCCTTTCTGTGCTATAGTTCAGCTTCAGGTAATATAGTTCACATTACCTTGCATTCTCCTGCTCGTTGAGAGATGCTTTCCTACCTGTGGGGATAGCGTGGGGTAGAAAAAGTATTCTTGGGATTTAATCTTAAGCCATTACTTTCCCTTGCCTGTTTTCAAACCAGAGAATTTTACTGGATTTTGGCACTGTTTCTGGACATGTAGACTCTGTTTCCATTGAATCTAGAGATAATATGGGGTTTGTGGTGGCCCTGAGCATCTAGTTTTTTCATAAGGAACCTTAATATGGCCTCCCTCCCATCTTTTAGGGACTAATTAAAAAAAATCAGTTTCTTCTCAGAAGCAAATGAAATAGCTCCAGATAGTACCAGAAAGTATTTCGACAAGCTAATTTTGCCACAGCTTTGTGGATCAGACCTCACACAAGATGTTTCATCCCATTTGTAATGTGAAATAAACGAACGAATGTTACAGTTGTATTTTCATGATCCCTGCCATATATTTGATTAGTGTTACACTTTGGTAAAAAAAGCACAAATGTGATACTATAAACAAGATGAGGATAGTTAGATTCTGAACCAGATCTTCATGAGAAAATAATACCAGAAAACAGAAGGGAAATAATGATCAAAACATCACAAGTGTAATCCTTTTGTAACATAAGCATCTGAAAAGTACGCATTTCTTTTTTTTCCAATTACAGGGGCTTGCCATGAGGTGCTGAAGCCTTGTTTCATTGATTCGGAGAGACTGGACCTAAATGGCGCAGCATGACTTTGCTCCAGCCTGGCTTAATTTTCCTACTCCACCATCATCAACAAAGGTATGTTCTTCTTGTTATTTTGGTCTGGCACTCTCCTAGAGAAGTCTAAATATCGTAACCTCAATGTAAAAATGCAAAGCTCTTTGTGGATAGGGTGATAACAGATGATACCTAGCAGGTCTTGGCGTGATTTCAGTAGTTGTACCGTGGCTGTCAAAACTCCAGTGGAGTTCTTTTGCTTGAGTAGCAGAGTTCATGGGAAGAAGCGCGTGCCTGGCTGCATTATCAGAGCTGTTGTTGGATTAAGTTTGCCTTAATCATGAGTTTAAAAAGAATTACTGTATTTCGTGCTAGAAGTACCAAGACAGAGGCATGTGCTTGATGTTCTTCCTTCTCATTTTGCTCTGTCCCCTATAAATTTTACAGAACTGTTATTCTATCATCCAAGTGATTAAAAAAAAATGCTGTTGAAATAGACTTTCTAAAATGGTTCTTCAGTTGCTGGTGGGATGCTTGTTACTACTGGTGGAGTGTGGTGCTTTCAAATAGTTGTGCATCTTCACTCTGGTCGTTTCATCTAGATTATTGTTACTCAGTTTATACAATGGGACAGTTAGCTTGGAAAGAGGAAATAGCAATCTCTGAATTGTTAGGATTTGTAAATATTGTAGGAAGTCGTGAGCATGTCCATCTTAAACTCTTCTTTTTTTTTCTGGCCTGTCCTTCTTCTCTTTTTTAATTTGTGCAAATGCAGAAGCAGAGGCAGCCCTGGATATTCAAACTCCTGTCATCTGTTGCCCTGTTTATAGACCTGTCATCTTCATTATAATCTTTCAAATGCAATATCTATGTCTGCAGCTATGAGAGTGGCATTGCCTTACCTGAATGTATTTATGTATGTTTCTTGCTGTCTTTCATGTCCACGGAAAATGTTTATAGCCTTTATAAACTTCCAGAAATAGTCTTGTGCTATTGTTAGTGCTGATGGCTAACTGTGCCTTTAGTTGTGTTCTCACTGCTTTGCTTATATATGTCTACATATACACGCATGCCTTTTTTTTTAGTCAGATTGAATGTCTTTATTCATATTGCTCTACCTATTTTTCTTCTACACTCACCTAGCTGGATTCTTTGTTTAGTATAGTCTACCAGCAACTCTCAGTTGCAGTTCTGGGAACATCAGACCTGTCTGTTCCAGAATGATTCCTGCCTTCTGTTTGTTTTCATTCTACTTGATTTATTTATTTTACTTGATATATTAAACTATTTTGATCTGTTTTTTCCATTTTAATACATTTGCATTGGAGAAGTAGTCAGATCTTAGTTTAATATGATGTAACAAATACAAAACCAATCTTTACCATGTATTTAAAGAATCTGCTAGAAGAGCTTTACCTGCATGCTAACAATGTCAGTATAGCAGGATAAAACCAAATTCCAGAACTCCAGTACTACTTGAATATATCTGAGGTATGGGTTGTATTTGTTACCTCATTCCTGAATTGTGGGAAATTTCATTTGCAAGCGTATGTTGTGGATCCTGTTCTCTTCCATAACTCTTCACCTCAAGGAGTTTAGATAGACTTCCTTTCACCTCTTCCAAAAATTCCATAGTTGTATGCTTTCTCCATTGTCATCTTTGTGCTTCCATTGTGTAAAATGCAGCTTATTTCTGTGAGTTATCTCCTCCCTCAATGATCAGTATTCTGTGATATACAGCACATTTGGATATTAAACACTTGCAAAGTCTTTTTGGTCCTACCTGATGTGTAGTAATTCTTAGTTTACAGAATAAGGCTTGTCCTGTCATTCCTCTACAAGATAGGTCTCAAATGTTGTGGCCCCCTGTCCCCTCCATTTCCTAGAATAGATTTTTATTTCTGCTTCCTATATGTCAACAAACCAGCTGAAGAGAAGAGCAGAAAGAGGGATGGAGATGAAGAGGAAGGATGGTGTGAGAAAGGCAAGGTGTCTCAGGTTTCATGCAGAATGGAGCTGGGGTGGGGCTCGGGGGTATCAACAACATTTAGACTTGAGAAGAAAAAACTGAACCCTGCCTGGTCAGTTTCTATTTCCCTGAAGAGGCACTTCTAGGAGTTGCATCTTCAGAAGCTTGGTTTCCCCCTTTGATCCTGGGTAGCTGAGGCTTTTCCTGATATAAGTAAAGGCTAGCGTTAGAAAAACCTGATGCCAGGAAGCTGGGATTGTAGATGAGCTTTCTTAATGTGACTGGTACAGCTTGACAGCTTGACTGAAATCCATCTCACTTATTGCTGAGGATTTCCTCTTAGGGATAAGAATTTTATATCATCTCCCTGTCACTTAGCAAAGTCTACCTAAATAGCTGGCTATCTATTGCTCAATAGCTTTTGCTCAGGTCTGGAACTACTATACTTGCATCAGTGCGGTATTGCAGTTAGGCAGACAGAAATGGGAAGGTGTTGTGAATAGTGAAGCCATCTTGAGAAATGGATGAAACTTTTCAGAAAGGATTGCTGTAACACTTGTATGGAGAGATTGCAGGCAGACTGGTAGACTCAGGTTTTGCAAGCTTACTTTTACTTCATGGTAGGCAGTAAGACTACTTCTTATACTTCAGAAATCTGTGTTGCTTTCTTTCTTGGCTAGTTAAACCTAGTCAGATAATTTCTTAACTTCCAGAAATTGCCAACAGATTTCCTCTTGATTACAAAGTTTACTGCCATCTCTGCCACAAGAGGCTTGATAGACTGATACCTCCATCATGTGGGGAAAATGCTAACTGCATGATCTTTGCACACAGTTTAGAGACTAGATTCATTATATCGTGTACAACTCAAACACCATGTATAAAATACTGTCAGTTATACTTTGCGAAAATGTGGTTCTTCTTCAAAGTTCATACAAAAAAATAAAAGTTAAACTCCAAAAGCAATACTAGAAGGCTGTTGTATGTAAATGAACACATGAAGCTCTCTTCTAAAATTTCATCTTACGATCAACAGATCTGGAGCTTTCTGAAACTTTTGGCAGGTTATTCAAAATTTGTTATATTTATTTTTTTTACTTAAATATTGAGATTCATTATGATAATTTTTTACCTACTTAGGTCTTTTGATGGTTTTTGTGGTTTTTCTCTTTTTTTTTTTTCTCTTTTTTTTCTCTCTGCAAGTTTGTCAAGGAACTAATTCCCTTCCCAGGTCCCAAATTGAGAGGGCAATCCCTTTTCATTTGAATTCTGCATGGTTTGGAAATACATGCTTTGTATTTTAAATGTATCTGTTGCTTACTTGAGTTTGAATTTTAAGCAGTGAATTTTGAACAGCACCTTAAGCTGTGCTGGGGCATTGTTAGTAGAACTGGGGTAACATTTTTTTTTTGTGTGATTGCCTCTTGCAGGGGTGGGGGAGGTGAGAAGGAAAAATACTTTTCTTCAACATGTTTTCCAAAGTAGTTAAACCTATTACTGTGATTCCCCCCCACCCCTCGGGCTTTGATCAGTGGAGTACTTTAAATATTAATATAGCTTGATTAGATGTTAGTGGATAATAACTGTTGAAATAAGCTTGGGGCTTTCATTTTCAGACATATACCATTACTGCTGTACTTTTTTTCTTGAGTGTTACTTAGTCTGGAGAGGGAGTGAGCTTCAGGCAGCGAAGCTGGTACTTTGGATGCAGTAAAGTTGATACTCCCTGGAATCATTAAGCTTAGTTTGCTGACACAGAACATTTCCACACAGCTGTGTGCACTTATGCATTTGTAGCTCTTACGGCCCTGGGACGTGTAGGATCTCTTGTAGACGTGCAATGGACATAAATGCGCGCAGTAAGCCTGCTGGGAGGGAAGGGGGCTTTGCTTCGCCTGCATCAAAGGCTTTCTGCGCGGCAGGGAGGTTCAGCCCTCTGCTGTCACTCACCGGGAGACAACAGCACGGCTGAGCGCGCCTTTTGCAGAACAACAATTTGTTCTTGAATTTTTAAGATGTAACAGCAAAAGAAATGTTACAATATTAAAATAGCAAAGCCAGATAGAAGTAATAGGGGAAGATAGCTTAATCCCCTTAGGTATGAGTTCTAGTCAGGGTGTATTTTGATTTCTGAGTCCTATTCTCAGTATGTTTTAGTTTATAAAGTACTTCCTACTGATATATTGAAGACTTACTTAAAATTTCTACAATGCCTACATATAAGATGGTAGTTCGAAGTATATTTGTGAATCTCTACACTTTTGACTCTAAGTTTTACTTGTATTTCATAACTAGTTGCATTTGCCTTATTAAGTTACAATGACAAGACTAATAAATTGGGCCTCTTTTGCGTACAGCTGCCTCTGGTGGAAGTGACTCCTTGCTTTCTGTGGAATGCACATGTGTGGTCTCTGACCATCCAAATTAAGATCACAGACTACTTTTCTGCCTTCCAAACTATGAACTCCTGTCCTTTCTTATCTTTTTTTATTTTTCTCCACTGCAGCACATGTCACTTGTGCTCTGTGCTGCTGCCAAAACAAAATAGACTTGGTTTTTTTTACCTTGTCGCAGGCATGGTCCTCGGTGCTGTTTCAGTGTCCTGGAGCAGAAGGTAACAGCTTCCACTTTGCTAGCATGAGAGATAGTGACATAGCTCCGAACTTATGCATATTTGAGGACTGCTGCATTGTCTGTCATTCAAAGTCCTTTTAAAAATTAATTGTATAAACCAGGAGTAGTGTGCATGTTGTAGTTCTGATAATTCAGTTTTGTGATTAATCAGATATCTCAGGTCTACTACTTGTGCTCCCTTGCAGTCATCACTGAACTTTGAGAAACATTCTGAAAATTTTTCGTGGACCGAGAATCGTTATGAAACAAACCGCAGAAGACACAACTCTTCAGAGGGATTTGATTCTAACATTGGACGGCCTAATGGAGGTATAATTAGCTTGGCACATAATTTAGCATGGCACATTTTGAATACATTTACGTCATTGCTTTGTAGCACTCTAGCTAGAAAGAAAATCTGATGATAATAGCTCTCCTATGCTAAATTCTTATTCTGTAGTAAAGTAGAGGTAATGGAAAGACAGATCTTCTGGGAGAGGATGTGATGACTAGGGGTTAAAGTAGTGTGATTCCAGGTCCGTTTCTCTTGTAAGAAGAGTAAGAGC